TCTTGGAGATATTTCAAATATCTTTAGTTTTCTTCAGCATCTATATTCTGAACAAGTGGCCTGAGAGGAGAGGAGATTGGGAGATAAAAATGGAGGGTGGAAGTTGAAAGACTGAAGTCGTTACTTACAGTTACTTCAGTTGTTCACCTGAAAAGGAGAAGGGGCATTTCCCAATATTGGAAAAGGCCATTTCTGCATACTGAAAAAGAAATGTTACTAAAAGAATGCATTGAAACAGCCATTTTCTTTCATTTATCCAGGTGGTTCTGGAATTGATAGAGCTCCGTGAATTGGGGGCTGCCAGGTCACTTCTGAGACAGACTGACCCTATGATCATGTTAAAACAAACACAGCCAGAGCGGTATATTCATCTGGAGAACCTCTTGGCCAGATCTTATTTTGATCCTCGTGAGGTATGACTGGTAATAAAAAAAGAAACTGTTGTTAACTTTGAAAACATGCAATAATGTAATTTTAAAAATCATTGTATTGGATACTTTTTGTGATTTTGATTTAATTTTCAATAGTGATACTTTTTATAGATGTTGGTTGAAATTTGCATATGTTAAAGAGCATAATCTTGTTTTCTGAGTACTGGAGGGTCTTCCCTTCCCCACTTAACCCATTTTAGAGGATTGTGTGTCTATTAGTAAAGCAGCAGAAAATTTATTCTGATGTTATTTCCCTATTAGCCCAAGTACTTGTCTGGTCCTGAAGTGCTTCCTGACTGCTAGTATACTCACTGGGCATTGTGTCCCTTGCCTCTGACAATTGCAGTTTCCTCCCAGCTCTTTTAGTTCTTAGAAGCTCTTGCTTTTACTTCTCAGCTGATTATGCATACTGGTAGAGCATGGTGACTGATACTCTTTCATTCTTTCAAAACCCTGTATATATACTTTCATTCTTTCTCACTCAGCCTTTTATTAGTCTAAATGGAAGGAAGAATGTAATAGATGCTGGATAAGTTAGGGTAAACTCACAGAAACCATGAGGATGAAGGAAAGGAATTTAGGTTACCAAGACAGGATTTGTTAGAATGGTCAACAGCTTCTGGGCTGGGGGGGGTGGTCATTTGACTGAAAGAAATTACCAAAGAATATAAAAGAATCTTTGGCTCTGCAGATTTTTCAAAAACTGGAAAACAGCCCTGGCAAGCCAGGGTTTACTTGGACTCTTTTCAGAAATAATAGTGTGAATTGGCTGACCTCAGTTCTCTCCCAGCTCATACTTTTGAAATGCAAGTGGCTAGAATTGGGAAGTCATTTTAAAAAAACTAATTGATTTAATCAATCTCCTGTTTAACTGGGTAGTTTCTTTTCATGTTTTCCGTTTTGAATGTTTCTGCTTGATGATTGTTGTTGTTTTAATTTTATTGGGAAACAGCCACGGTCATTGGTTACACATTGCTTTAATGCTACAATGGTATAGTTGACTCTTTTAGGGAGGGCGCAGCTCACAGTGGCCCATGCGGGGATCAAACTAGCACTACACTCTAACCAACTGAGCTAACAGGTCCCCCCTGTTGTTGTTTTTTTAAAATAAGCACGCTTATATCTTGTAGCTGTTTCTTGGAAATGATGCTCCTCCCTCTCCTTTTTCAGGCTTACCCAGATGGAAGTAGCAAAGAGAAGAGAAGAGCAGCAATTGCGCAGGCCTTAGCTGGGGAAGTCAGTGTGGTGCCTCCGTCTCGTCTCATGGCATTGCTAGGACAGGTAAGTAAAGTCTGTGAAACTGAAATTACCCTGTATATAAACTATATGTATGAGCTAAAGAAATCAGACATCCTAAGTACTGGGAACTACCTACAGAGCTGCTTGTACTAACAGCTGTGCCATGCCACCCTCATCTTCCCTGGAAGAGGCAGTATGGATGAGTGGTTAAGTGCATAAGCTCTAGAGCCAGAGTTAAGGTGATCACA